TGGAGAAAAGTGCAGAAGGAGGAGAGAAGAAGGGCCAAAGGGGAGAAAGGGGTAGAAGAACTACAGAAGGAGTAGGACAGAGCACGGAGAAAGGCCACAAGCAGGAATTCCAGCCCAAACAGAAGAATGCAGCACACAGGAATAGCAAGGAAAGACAAATGCAACCACAGGAAAGTGCCAAGCAGTGGGATGTATCTGTCCAAGCTACCAGCAGCACTCCAAAGCATTCACACTGGTGATACTATGATTCTTAATCATATTTACACCCTACCCATTGCAGACGTCATTCCCAATCGTAGCGTAGATCACGGTGGCTGGATTGTCCAACAGCTGGTTTCTGGCCAAGCTAAAAGATCAATAGGCAGCTGTGTTAATGGGGAAATATGCTCTGTGTCTGTCTGAAGCACAAACCATGCTTCAATGAGATCATCTTTGGAAGCAGCCTGCTTAGATGTGTATAGGTTGGTGGGTTTGGGGGAGGGGGTTGGTGGGTTTGGGGGGGGGGGGTGGGGGTGGTGGGTTTTTTCCCCACTATATTTTTATACATTAGTAAGCTTTATTATGTACAGATTTTCCTCACTTTTCCCTTCTGTTGCTTATGGACTTGTCTTTTCCACTGTTTCCCCTGCTGGCTTTCTATCTTTGTATTATTCAGAAGACAAATGAAGTAGTTTCATTTTGGGGCAAGGACATAAATCAAAATAGGTGGGAAGCTTTTAATCAGAGGATGGGAGAAGAAGACTATGTTTGCCTGACAATTAAGTTTATGTGTAGGATTGGGCTACAGATCAAATCGGGATTTGCTCTGAAGCTCAGTGTTAGGGGACAAGGATTTGTAACTATTTTTTCCATAGGAGAGAACAATAAATCCCTTAGGCTATATCAGCACCAAGCAAACTAAATTCAACCCAACCACCACACAGCCCCCCATCTGAAAAGGACAGCTTCTTCCTCTTGCTATCCAGTAGCTGACTGTTCCTATCCCTATGGACACAGTAACAGTGGGCTTTCAAATGTCTATATACATTGGTACTAATCAGGAGTAACACACTCTGTTTAAACAAGAAACAGCCATACTTCAGAGCACAGTAGGCAAAGGAAGCTATGCTTTTCAGGAGGCTTGTGTATAATACGTGCTTACAGGGTTCTGCTTGTTTCCTTTAAAGACGCCAGCAACCATTCTGCCCCCACAGCCAGCATTTGCATCCCATTAAACACTCACCTCTTTATTAAGTGGAGGAGATTTCCTGAAGAGCCACCTGAATAAGATGAATAGCACAACACTGTTACAGTGACCAACAGAATGAAGTGCAAGCCACAGTGTCTTGGCATAGTTCACAGAATATATCATAGAATATATATATGCATAGACCTTAGAGCTCCTCCAGTCCCACCCCCCTGCCACAGTGTCTCACCACCACCATTTCTAATGTTAGAAGCATTAAAAAATGAAACAACAAAGTCATCCCTGTAACTCTTTTGGGTGTAAAGCTATATCCAGAGACCTGAGTGACTCCCACACTTCAGACTGTAGAAAAGCAAACACTTTCAAGCCCTGGGTTGTTTAGATCTGGTTTTAATCCAGACCTGGCAGCGTTTTTCCATCTGTTGAACGTAGTAGTCTCTTGTAAACCAGCCAACCTGACTTGTTAACAGTCGATCTACTTTTAACTTTCCCTATAAATTGGAAAGGGAGCTCTTCCCACTCTTCTGAGAGAATATGCATCTCACAGCTATACCAGGTTTGCATTGATTCAGTTCCTAAACATAGGCACCAAGTGGCATTTTGGACATCCCGGAGTATCCAAGACACCTGTAGTGGGGCTGGCAGATAGAATACAGGATGCCTGAGTGATTGTGCACTTACTTCTGCAGAGGCACCTGGAGGTGAGAAAGATACCACAAAGCATCTTCAATAGCACTAGGCACCAGCATTGGGGTGTCTGCATTCGTCTCCCCATGAGTGCCAGACTTAGGAAAAATAGGATTGGCCAGCAGCACCCTCCTGAGGAGCTCTGCAGTTTGATGGCAATTCACCAAAATGAATGCAAACCTTCCCTCCCCTAGGAAAAGAGCTAGCTACACATAAGCGTCTCTGAGCATCTGTACTCCTTCATTTATATCTTAAATTCCCAATTAGGAAAACTTCATGCATAGAACTTACTAGCAGGTCTTTAAAGGCCATGCATATCCATCCCAACTATCCACAGCACACAGGTCCAACTCCATCACCTGCCACGCCAGTGATAGCAAACAGGGAGACAGAAAAGGCTTTATACTTTGTTCAGGATTAGACTAGGACTGTGATTGCAAGAAGCTCGCCTCACATCAATGTACAGAAGCATCAGCTTCAGAGAAGTAGGCCCTACAGCTTGTGCTTCCTTTTATTTTGCAGTCTTTTCACTGCTCTTTTCTCTCTCCTTCTCCTCTTGTATTACACTCCCTTTATTCTTCATTCAGCTCTTGCCTGGTCTCTCTCTTCTCCTCTTTTCTACATTGCACCTCTGAAGTGTGCTTTGAGAAGCAAATCCTGTCCTCCCCACAGTTCCTGGGTGGGACGCTCAGGGACAGAACATCATTAAATCCCTGCTGGATTGGTATAGGGGAAAGATCTGAGACCAACTCCGAAGGCAGCAATAATACACTTTGCATTTTAATAGCGGCGCCTTTGTTACTATCGCTCACGGTGATGCCAACCGCATATATCAAGAAATCCTTTATGGTTTAAATAATCCAGTTCTTCCAAGCTACAATGAATCCAGCTCTCTGTCTGCTGCCTCTCTCCAAGGCTGCTGCTCCATTCAAAACTCAGCCCTTCTGTCAAGAAGCTCTTTTCAGCAGAATAAGAGCACCACAAACCCGTTAGAAAATATGGCTTGGAACATGACTCCCACCGGCTGACTTTTTGCTTCTGTTTAATAGCCCTTCTTTCAGCTATGTTCAGCAACCCTCTGTTAAGCCACTCAGCTGCAAAGCTCCCCAGGCTGGGGCTGCGGTTCCAGCACAAATAAACTAGGGGGATCTTTAGGAATCAAGAAATGTAGTTACAGAACAAGCGAGAAGCTGTTCTTGGGTGTGCATTACCTCTGCAAGTGAGGGAGTTACAGGCAGCTCTCTGGGAAGCATTAGCAGTTATAAATCAAGTAAAAACATCAAGAAAATGAACGGGTTTTTTAATAGGTAAACTGAGCCATCAATGACGTTCTTGTGATGCAGGATGTGATATGTGATGAAGATATTTGAGAGAGAAAAAGGGATGAGGCAGAGCAGTTACCCTTGACCATTGGATGTCCCGGCAGCCACTCCTGTGTCTCTCCTGCCCCTTTCTCTGTGGTTTTCCAAGTATTTTCAGTGGGTTTTTGGGTCTTGGTTCAGGAGTCGGAGCTGGTTTGCTTCTGCTTGTAAGAAAACCCTGAATCTCATAAACCCCGCTCATGCCTGAGCTGCGCTTGGTTTTCTTGCTCTTAGACCTTGTGTGACTGACATGCACTGGAGGAGTCTGGGTCCAGATAGCACCAAACGTGCTGTGTGGATAAGAATGGCTCATTGCCTTCTTCTGCTCCCTCATTCTCTAAAAGCAATTGGAAATGCAACAGTGCACAGAAAGAAGTGTCTGGTTTTCCCCAGATGAAAAGTCCTCCAGGTGGACTAGAATTCCCAAGGCAGACAAAGAAAAATACTCAAACTTAGGTTTTTCTATCCTGGTTTGAAGCCAATGTGAGATATTTGGTGCTTGATGGCAGAGTGAGCCACAGCATATGTTAGCAAGGCCTAATTTGTCTGATCAAAGGCAAGATCAGACTACAAATGGCAAAGGAATGCACACTACCTGTGTTTTGCAATAGCACACGTTATCCAAGCATCTCATGCAAAACATGGATGACAACTCCCAGACTGATCTGTAATTACTTAGGAATTCTGAGGACATTCTAGTGATCCTTTGTAATACTTTAGCAACTGATTTTACTCTCAGAATGCTCCTAACATTACAAGGGATCTTCAGCAAGTGCTGGAGAACATTTGGAAGAGCGTTCCAACCCCACAATTGAGCATTCATGCCCAGCCCTCACAGTCAAAGGCAGAAAATAGCCCATGGCCTTCAACCCTGTGAGAAGCTGCTGGCAGGAAAGACACCAAAACCATATTTAAAAGAGTCACCCAGTAAAAATTATCCTGAGAAATCTGTTCAGCAAAGCTCTTCAATGGAAAACACTGCTTAAGACTGGGAGCTGCTTGTGCAAGCACAAGCTGAAAGCAGTAATGATGGTATAGAAGAGGTTTGTTATGAATGAATAACCTCTGTCAGTTGTCCCAGGTGGGGCTAGGTCAGGTTGGCGGCCAGCTTTTTGAGGTACTGACACTGAGAGTGACCATTTAAAGCCACCCTTTCAGGGAAACCCTTACACCAAATGAGGCAATAAAAGCCAACCTCTCTCATGAGGTGTTGGCACAATAGGAGAAGCTACCCAGGGAAGATATCCTGGGATTTTCCATCACTTGTAATTCTTCCCTTTTCTTAAATTCCCTTCTCAATTTTCTTTGAAGCCTTTTGCCCTGGCCCAGGCTCACCTCCTTTTACACCCTGCAGGCGGCTGTAGTGTAGGTGGAAGGGGTATGCATGGAGACAAAAAGGAGCCATGCACACAGTAAGTGATATTTTCTTTTAAGTCTATGAAGGAATGGGGAAAAAGGAAGATCAGAAAGTACAACCCTCCTTAATGTAAAGAGAACAGAACAAGGTAATGGGGTATCGGGTACTGAGATGAACAGGATATAAATGAGGAGAACCACTGACTCCTGGTCATCCACTGACCACCTAGTTTGGCCTTTCTATTATTCTTTCCCCAGAAAGCACATCTGGGGGACTGAGATACTTGGAGCCACCAACTCCAGTGCCCTGTGACTTAGTGAGGAGTAAGTCAGATGAGAAAGTCGGAGGTGTCTGAGCTGTGACACCAAACATTGAAAAACACATGTGCAAAACCTGAAGCCTCAGGAGCACCATGTGTGCCACAGGAATCATAGACTCATAGAAAACTTTGGGTTGGAAGGGGCCTTCAAAGGTTATCTAGTCCAACCCCCCTGCAGGGAGCAGGGACCTCTTCAAGTAGATCAGGAAGGAGAAAGGCGTACAAGAGGCATTAGTGCTGGCACCAGAGGTCATTTTTCCACATGAAAATGCCCACCTAAGCCTCGAAATGATCCTTGCATCACACTTCTTGTCTGTGCAACCTCCTCTGCCTGGTAGCAACTCTGTCTGTTGGAGGTGGGAGGCCGGGGCAGACCTTTCCTGACCCTGCATCTCATGAGAAATGCCGAGCATTTAACATGTTTCCGAGCAGCACCAGGGGCTGCAGTGCTCCTCACTTGCAGCCAACACGGCTCATCTTTTGGAGAGGAAGAGCATCCCATAAACCCTAATTATCTCCCCGAGGAGAATAAATTTTCTGAGGTTCTGCAGCCAGTTTTCTGAAGCATGAAAATTAATTAAATGCAATAGAAACACAATGTGACAATCACAGAATAATCAAGTGTCTTTTAAACCTGATGTTGGGGACATCATCTAATCCAAGACACAAAAGCTAACATCATAAACCTTAATTTCCAAGGGAGATTAATGTCATCCTTTCAGACAACCCTTTTGAGAAATTTAATCTGTATCTGTCTTGAAACAACTCAGGGTTTCTTTTTTGCTCCCACTCCTGTATTCTGAAGGCTACTCTAGGTCTTCACTCCTTGATAGTAACATTTCTTATTAAATTTCCCTTCCAGACAGAGGTAGGATTAATGAAAACCCATGTTCTTGTACCAGCGCTGTCCTTCAGCTTTAATCATTCTTCCCATTCTGGTGTTTATGCCTTGAAAAGATTCAAAGCTGAAATCCCTTTTAGTTTTTGCCTTGCCAAGGTGTCTTAACATCCCCTTGGAAGTCTCCGTTGCCTTAATCTTCCCCAAAGCCCTTCTTTGTGTCCTCACCAAAATCATTCCTCCCTAGGCAAATTCTGAGGTCTTATCTGTGGCCAATGTGAGGAAGGACTGTCTCCTTGTCTCTAGAGAAATTATGTGTGTGATGCACCTTGCAACCTCCGTAGTATCTTCACAGCTCTATCCTGCACTCCAGGGCCTCTCCCCTCCACCACCTGAAGAGCCACTAAGTTTACAGCCAAGAGTCTCGTCATTAGCTCTGCCATGCATGTCCTGCACAGTTGTACTTGCCTCAATTGCTGTCACTGCTGTTCCCAAGCTCATCCGAATTATTCCTGTGTAAGGATGTGGCCCACTTTGGGCTGGTTCATATTTTGCATCACTCACAGATGCCATCAGGCATGCACGTTTGTCTTTGCTCCAAGGTCACCACTCCAAATGTTAATCATTGTTAGCCTCAGGAGAGATGTGTGAGGGATGCAGCTCCTCTCCCAAACCCATTACTTTTCCCTCCTTAGCTGTCCTCTCCCTGTCTCTTATTTCTTGCATTAATCTTCCTCTTTTGTCCCAGTTCTAATTTAGCTTTGTGTCCTCCTTTATAATCTGTTCTAAGAGCCCATCAAGATGCCTGCAACATTGACCACCAGTTTTGCAAGAGGACTTCTGTTTGCTGGCCTCCAGCTCCAAAGGATGTCACAGGACATCACGGACACCCTTGCTATGAGACATGCTGCACCTCTGCTATTGATATCCCTCTAAATCCGCCCTTATGGCCAAAAAAACCCATAGAGTTACAGTGGGGTACACTGGTTTTTAGTCCAGTGGAATTTCTCACTTGGTGCATGGATAGAAGTGATCAAGCTGCACACCTCCCTACTCAGAGCCAGGAGCAAAGATGCTGAGTTAAATAAGCGCTGTTCTCTATTTTCCCATCAGAAAGCTATGCCGTTAGGAAGGAGTTTCTCTTTGATTCTGAAAGAAAGATGTTCATTAACACATCAGCAAGCATCAGACATGGAAGATTTTCTGTAAAAGAGTGAAAAAACCATACCATTTTTGGAGATGTTCTGTAGGTCTCTGTGATTACAGCGGTTCCTGTTCCGTAAGCGTAGATACAGAGAGTCTGTCCAGCCTCTGAAAGGAAGCAAGGAAGTGCAAGCTGTTAAACTCACCTGATACTTGTTAAAATACCCCCGAGGTTAAAAACGAAGCATGTTCTCATCTCTGAACAGCTCTGTGCCCCAGTTATGTATATACTTCTGTTTCACCATCTCTCTCTTTTGGGGTCATAAATCTTTTAGATCTTGAACAGGGTGGCCTAAAATGGAAGCCGAGACATCCTCTCCAAAGCTGTAAATTGATGGGGAGCTTCTTTGAAAATGTTCCATCCAGGCTGCTTTTATCCTGGTCTTTCAAATGAGGATTTAAAAAACCCTTTTGTCATACATCATTTATCAAAACAATTCTGTTGATTGCTCACTAATTGACTTTTCTGTTGCTTGTTATGGAACAGTAAATAAAAGAGAAGAAATATTGGCAGGGCATTCACTTCCCAAAGCCATAAGTCTTGGATGGATTGATCTGAAAACAGGTTATGCTTGATTGTGATTACTTCTCTCCTTTTCTTTGCACTGTTGAGAAGATGAAAATGCAAATGCGAAGGATAACAGCACAAAAGGAAGCTGAGGAGAAGCTGGTTATTTATATCTGGGCTGCTGCCTTTCTGTTTGAACTTAGACACCAAAGGAATCAAATGGCTTAAGAACAGCAAACTTGGATGAATGCAGAGAAGCAGGAGACAACAGTAAGTTCTGAAGCCAGCAGTAAAAAGTAACTATTTACATAGAAATGCATGATAACATCAACCAGTCTCCATGTAATGGGCTACACAAGAAACACCCAAGCTCTTTGGGTTCTCAGCACAGCAGGCAGGCAAATGAGGAGAAGCAAACAGACCTTCTCAGTTGGAGGATATTAGTTAAAAAGCAGTGTCCCTCTTCATGCATCACGGGCATGGACCACATCAGTTTGTGTCCCTATTTCTGCAGGCTCCCACTGCACATTGCCAACCGGTCTCCACCACACTCAGTCGCTGTGAGGTGGGATTGTGAGCTACTTGTCTTAAAAATGCCTCACTGTCCCAAACAGTCCTCCTTTTTCTTCTTCCAAATGCGGAAGAGATTAAGAAAGAGACTAACACTGACCCAAGGCCTATCGCTGACAGCTTCAGGGTCAATACTAAGCTCTGATCACTTGTGAATCACTTCAGATTCTTTGGAGCCCAGTTACATACTGTGTATTGAGTAGCTGGATGTTGACATTGTGGTAGGCTTTTAACAGTTGTTTTTGCTGCTGACTCTGAAAGGGGAGGCTGCACAGCTCTTCTCTATTGGCTTGCCAAGTAGTATACCACCTTAAAGCACACACTGTGAATGCAGCTGAGGCTGGGAACCTGGTTTTTGCACAGGGAGAAAAGAAAGCAAGCAGCAAGTACAAGTGTGTGGTGCAACAGATCTGGTTCCTCGAAAAGAATATACTTGCCAACTTTTTAATCTGTTGGTAGGGAGCCTCTTTAGGCCTGACTCATGCTTGCTTTGGCATTTCACTGTGTTGGTGACCCATCGCAGACATCGCAAATAACAATCATCTGCAACTCCACGGCAGAGCAGGCGCTGTTGGTGATGATAGCCACCAGCTCTGGCAGGAGCCAAAAGCCTCTTAATGCTGGCCAGAAAGCTGATTAACAGAATCACAAGTATTTCTTTTGAACTCCACAATTAATCCTGCAGGCGTTTCAAAGCATCTGCTTTGCATTTGGACTCCATCCTCACTGCTTTCTGGCAGAGGCTTCTGTCTTCCCATCTAGTCCTGCTCCTTTCCCCATCCTCATGAGCCAATGTACCACAGCAAATAGGCCACAGGCACTTCCAACTCTTCTTTTGCTATTTCCCTCTAAGGAGGGGGGGGGAACAACAACAAAGTGGAAGAAAGATTGCCCCCAAAAAGGGAATACTGTGAAATAATGCTGGGGTTGGTTGTTCCACTGTTCCAGCAGCAAAAAGAAACAGGAGGAAGAGGAAACCAGGGGGGTGGAGGGAAAAACAAGGAAAGCGAAATGCTGATTTTTGTTGTTTTCTGCAATGCCCCCTTCTGCCTGCCCTCGAGTTCTGAAAACAGGGACCTTAGGTTTTATTCCTTCGGTTTTTTAGCTCCTTCTAAGCTACAATTTGAGCAGCTCTAAAACCTACCCTGAAATTCAGGAAGGCCAGGCCAGAGCACTGTGCATTGTCTATATATTCAACAGGTTCTTCCAAAGCCCTACATCCAGTGTTGATTTGAGAGTGAGCACAAGCAGAGCTGATGTGCATTTTTACTTTGCTTTTCAAGCACTCTTCTTTCTTTTCCTTGCTGTGCTTTAAGGGGCCTTAAGACTTGCTATGACTTGGCCATGCTGCCTGTTGGCTTACCCGATGGTGGAGTTCAGAAATCCAGTGATCTCTGAGAACTGGGGCCAGTCAAGCTCGTTGGTGAAAGCCACTGGGAGATTGGCAAACGATTTCTGAAAGAGAAATTCTTAAATCAATGCGGTTTCACCCTCAAAAAATCCTTCCAGCAAACTCAAGCACTTGGCTGCAGCATCACTGGACAGCAGCAGTGGTAACTACAGCTGTGGCAGTCGTTACTTATCATAGAATGGTTTGTGTTGGAAGGGACCTTAAAGCTCATCCAGTTCCAAACCTCTGCCACTGCTCCAACACCTTCTACTAGACCAGGCTGCTCCAAGCCCCATCCACGCTGCCAGGGATGGGGCAGCCACACCATCTCTGGGCACCCCGTGCCAGCGCCTCGGCACCCTCATGTGCATATACTTAAAAAGCTGACTCTTGTAAGACAGGCAAATCAGCAGAGGACGGAAAAGCAGGAGAGAGATCTGAATTGTATCTCCTGGCACCCTTTCGTTTTGGAGAGCCCAATACACCTCCTGACATGGAGCACGTACTGCACTGCTGACCCCCACAGCTGCCTGCTGCAGCGTCCTCCCTGTCCAAAGGTAGGTTCCTTGAGCACAGGAAGAGATGACAGTGTGAGGTTCCAAGGTATATGGCAAAGAGATGATAACATACTGCTCCATCCCTGGCAGTGTTCAAGGCCAGGTTGGACGAGGCCTTGGGTGATATGATTTAGTGTAGGGTGTCCCTGCCCACGGCAGGGGGTTGGAACTAGATGATCTTAAGGTCCTTTCCAACCCTAACAATTCTATGATTCTATGAGAACATAAAATTTACTCCAGGCTCCTTTGCCCTCTCCATCAGAATGAACCCCTTAAAAACCTCTGCCCTATCTTCACTGCAGATTTCGGGCACTGAAGCAACAGTCAGAAAGGCCTCTGAGCACAGCAGGGAGCAAGACCCATGGTCTGCCTCAGCCTTCCCACACAAATAGATACAACCTTCACCCTTCTCTGCTTTTGCTGGTATTAGTCCCTGTTTTTAAGTGCCTGGCTCTGGCAAAGCTTCCCTGCAGATGTAAGCTGTGCTGCACATTCAAAGCACAGGGCCCTGCTCATTTCCACTTTGATCTCTGAATGTGTCCAAAATCATGAAAGGTGAGAGAAACGGCCTCAGGAATGGCACCATCGCAGAGAGATGAGGACATGGACGTAATTTTCAGCTTCTCCTGGTCCGGGGTACACTTGCAAAGACAAAAGCATAAATCCAGCATGCTCATACTGAGAAACTGCTGATGAAAAAGGTAATAACCCAAAGAAGGTCAAAACATGAAATCAGAGAACCTACAGGCTGGTTTAAGCCATGGAATTCATTAGCTTCATTTCCTGTTGAAGCAATTGTGGGGTTTCCTTAAACCATCGCTGCAGGTTAGGTAATTGTTTCTCCAGGAGGGTCAGAGGTTGCTCAGGAGCCAAAGAAGAGCTAAATTCTGTGGTTGCCACCAAGTCCTCATTCCCAAAATCATCATTTAGAGGAATGGGAGCTATGCTTGAGCACATGCCTATGGGGGTTGACAGTAAGAGGACAGGGTGAGATGCATGGAAAGGGGAGGAGAGGTGAGAAAAGGGGGGTTGTGAGGGGGAAGAAATCCTGAAGCCAAGCTCTGAGCAGCCTAATGCACAGCAGATGCCAGTTTAAAGCATGTAACAGCATATTTGACCTACTTACAGTAGATCTGCATTAGTTACCAAGGTGAAAATGGGTCTGGCTTAATTATCTTTCTGTTGCTTTCCTCTCTCTCTTGTCCTTGCATGTATCTCTACATACATACATACATAACATATATATATACATACATAAAGTAATCATTTTGTAAAGACTGGAGGGAACTTCCAAATCTGCCATCATGTGTGATAGTTTTGTGTGCAAAACAAGCACTCAACCCAAGGGCACAGCTCACAGCTATGAGTGGAAGTGGAGGGGGACAAGATTTCTTGGCCATTTGCAATGTTCGTCTCTTCTTAGCTTTAAAGGTGACAGGAATATTGACAGGGTCACTTAGTATAAAGCTATAGATATGATCTTTCATAAGTCACAACACAGAAGAGTATAAAAAGAACCCAATAATGAAATATTTTTAAAACAAGTTCTTCTAAGACCAACTTCCTTGTATTTTCTACTCCAAACCAATATTTTCATTGGACAAGTCCCAGTCATTTTTTTTACATTTTCTTCTTTTTTTCCTGCAAACCTAGCTTAAATATGAATTCAGTTTAAGCCAGAACCTGATTAAGTTGCAAATTGGTTTGGAAAGGAACATTTAAGAGCAGAATTATAGTTGCATTTGAACACTGTATATATGTTCAGCATTGACACTGTTCCAGCAACGCACTTAAAGCCGACTTTGGAAGGTATTTCAGGACCGAAGGGTGAGGATGAGTAGTTAGTGGAACTTTGAGGAGGATGCTAGAGCTTGAACTCTGCAGTGATGTAGTTTGGAAAGCATGGTCTAACAGACTGCATTTTGCTTAGCCTTACATACAAATATGTCCCACTCTAAAGGTAGATCTGTACTGACTTTTAGCTTAAGACTCTCGTACAGCCTTGTTTAAATACCATTCTCTAGACTATTCTGGCTGAGAAACCATGCTTCAGCCTACGTGCCAGATTTTAGCAGAGAATGATTAGAAACTTACTCCAGCCTAGCTTCAAATGCCATATTTTAGCCTCAGTTGCTCTAGATGGGTCTCCCTTTGAAGGAACATCCTCACCTCCTGGATGTGTCCTACCTTGAAGTACAGGGCAGCCAAAGCCATGGCTGATGCTAAATGCATGCATGCCAAGCTGGGCTTATATGGAAGAAGGTTCAGGGTTCCTATGGCAAGAGATCTTCAAAATCAGAACACAAAAGGGCATTGGGAACCTGATGCTCCTATGAGAAATGCCAGTCCCAGCAGTCCTGAAAGTGCAGAAGTATCCCTTAATTTGAAGGGGAATTGGGTATTGGTTTTTATACTGACTTGAATGCTGTTCCAGTTCTTGTGGTAGCGTTAAGTACCGCAGACAACTTTCTTATTCTAAGCATATGAATAAGCAAGCCTTAGAGCTCTTGAGGAAAGCACAGCCTATCTTTCTAAAAAGCATTATTCCCTTATTCTCCCCAAAACGCAGGATCTTACTCATCACAGTATTAGCTGCGAGGGACTTGCCTGTGATTCACTGGATTTAGAGGGAAGCTAGGGGATGGTTTTAATGAGATTTCCACAGATCAAACTCCTGACTTTTACAGTGGGGCAAAACCCCCAAAGGATTACACTATTTTGCACCACCTGGGATAAGTGTTCTGGACATCCTGAACCCACATTTACAGTAAAGCTGCATTCTTTTGCTAGGAAATATGTAGTATGAACCAGGTACTTTAATGAAACCTGAGAACACCTTGAGTTTGTGGGCAAATAGGTATTTACTGCATTACAGATAGACAGGGCTTTATTTTTCTCTTTATTCAGCATGAAATAGAGAGCCAAGGTTTTTAAAACGCATCTTCCTAGAGAGGGTATCATTTCCACACATACAATGCTTTTATCTCAAGATAAATGTCTCTAAAATGAGATTTAAAAGCAAACTTCTATCCCAGACAAAATGCTACGTTTAGTAGCTATTTGGAAGTCAGTGGTAAGCAGATGGACAGAGCAGCAGGAGCACAATATCCATCACCAGACACACCGGTGTTTTCAACACTACCATTCCAAAACCACCATCCACCTCAAAAGAACACCCTAACCTGTATTTCTTCTGCTTTGCTAAACCTCATAAAGTGCATGTCTACTGCATTTTTAATGTTGGAATTTTCAGGTCAGAGGAATGAATGTTCAGCTCAGTTCTTGCTGAGCCTTTTAAAAGAGGGAAAGCCTGGCAAACCCAAAACCTAGTGATAAGCAAAGAGCCAAAATAAAGTTGGCTTACTCCGTTCTTAGAGCTGTAAAATTGTTTCCCTGTAATTATACTCTGGGTGTTTGGGGATTTACTGGGGTGATGGCAAGTTAATGATGGAGCCACGTGCTCTGCAGGAACATGCAAGTCCCCCCCCTTCCAACACTGCCTATGTGATGTGAATGCAGGAACATGATTCAGGCCTTTGCATTTGGTCACTTAGGTGCAAGAGAACAGGAAGATCAGGAAGGCTCTAGGGGACTTCATATGGGACAAGTAAATGATGCAACTCGATGCATTTCTTGACATAGGACATGCAACAAAAGCATATCCATTTGCACCGGATTACGCAGGGGGTTATGACTGTGAGAGGCCAATGCCAAGACAGTAGTAAGTTCCCAATTAGACTGGGAAATTAACATGTATAGGACAAATACAAATAATTTATATATATGAAATACAGAAATTATATAGGTAAAAAATAGACAAAAATGAAGTAATGAAATAATACACTCACTAAATGTGAATTGACAGGCACACAACTATTTTCTTATACACATGATAAAAGTCCTAAGGGCGGGGAGAGAAGTCCTATTTGGAATTCCACGTTGAGGGCTGAGATTCAATTGAAATGGAAATTAAAGCTTTGAACTGACGCTAGCATTGACTGTAGAGAAAACCATTTGATAAACTAATTTTTCTATGTGTCTTATCAAAGAAATTTTGGCACATTCAAAGCAAAGTGTCTTGAGTTGGACAGCATGGGGGAACAGCGGATACACAGGGATAATAATGCCTTTTCCTCCCCTTTCAGAGCCCTAACTTCAAATTCCTGCTGTGGTCCCAGATTAAGGATGTTTTCTATGAGATCAGGACATAGTCTCTGCACTCTCTCTGGTCACAAAACCATCCTTGGATGTGCTTCACAAGCCCAAGGCAGCTGAATTGCTGCTATTGCCATTCTATGCACAGAAAGCAAGACAGAGGACCAGCGAGAGGCAGAGGCAGTGACAAAGTCTGAATTAGCTCAGAATTTTTTTTGCTAGCTCTTTTGTGCTCAGGCAATTACTTTCTTAATTAAGGTGAGATGCAAATTAAGTAATTTCTTACTGTTGCTAGACTTTGAGCACAGATAATGAGGTTTTATATGACTGAACTCGCTGTGTCTCTGCATTAATATTTAACTGTTGTATTTTCGCCAGGTTGGTAGGAAAGATCACAAATAGTCCTAGAAAAGAGCCAGAGAGGGAACACATCTCTCTTTGCCCTCCTTGCCCCACTGCAGAGCACTGGCTGTAATGTAGGGTCACCCTTTCTGCAAAGGAAAGCAGCCCGCTTCCTTTCCAACCAGTCCTTGATCTTCTTCACATGCTGGTCAGACTGAACTGAGCACTGAAAACATGTATTTGTTGGGTCTCAGAGAGCACCCTTTCCTTCCTGTTAAAGTTGCTCTACACCCATCAGACAGAAATGAGGTGGCATCAAAACTCACTTGATAACCTGCACTCCTGATCCTGACCTTGAAGCTTCTGCTTCTGTATACCATTACCAGTCCTCAATCCATCCAGCTAGCAGACCAGCAAGCTTCAAGCAAGAGAAATGCTATTTAAACCTTCATTAGAGACATAATAAAATGCTGACATAGTCTAAGTCTATTCTTGCCTCCATGGCTCTGCTACCGGCATTACTGCCAGGATCATCATCACCATCGGCCTTATTAGCATCTTTATTAGACAAGATAATCTCAATTATCATTAGTGCTAATTTATTATGCTTACCATCAGCTCTGCCATCAGTGTCAGTCGTCTAATTGTGCTCATAAACGTTTAACAAAGGAAAACAACTTCTAATCTGCAACATTTACATCAGCTCAGCTCTGGGAGCCAAAGTGGGAAAATGCATGGAACTCTCAGACCTCCGTCAGCTCTGTGACTACTGACACTATGGAATAGGTGTTGTTCTCCAGAAAACATCCATGTCCTCCTCCTATAGAGGCCAGTGGGCAAGCAGGAGGTTTTCACCAGGGATGGTGGGTAGTGACGATCTATCTGCTCACCCCTATGGAACAGAGAGAAGGACAAACGCAATTCCTGGCTAGGGACTGGCACTGTTTAGGAGCAGGATAGGAAACAACAGTGCAGGGCAGGAGCATACCTGCGTGTTTTCTGTCTCCACCCAGCTGCAGTTTGCTGGAATCATCTTTTCCCCTCAATTGTGTCATTCCACACCAGTGAACTGCAGCAGCTGAGGCTCAACCTAATTCACAGTCAGGTGCATTTTGTGGCTTGAAAATGGGAAACGCTGGGATACTGCCCAGAGGTAGACATCAGTGTGGCAGTTATATTTCAGCCACTACGGAAACCCTTTCCTACAGGACAAGTCCATTGGATGACCCTCAAACACCTGCAGATGTATTTGTTCAATGAGCCTCAGAACACTGGAGTTACCAGAACTGTTTCATGTATACCACAGATGAGGGAAAGCAATCCAGGATTTATCATTTCAAAGCCAGATGCCTAAAACAGAAGATCCCAGACTGTCAGCAGGGTCACTTCTACACCACTTGCACAGCAAGGAGCCATACCAACGAGCCTACTAATGGCAGGCCTGATCCCACAGGCAGCACGGGTCTCCTTGAGCCCTGTGTGGGAAGCCAGATGCCCTGGTTTGTGTCCCTGGCACAGCACAAGGCCACTGAAGCCAAACTCTTCCCTGACCCAATTGCACAGATGTCGGATGAGAGGGGCAGCACAGCCTTTTGATTTTCAGAAGAGCATCCGTGGGAGGGGAATGACAAACGTGAGGCCATAACTGTAAAACCCAGTGCAGTAACTGGAAATGTATAAGTTATAAATTAATAATTTATACATGATAAATAAATTTAGATTTATAAACCGATTTTGCACTTGTTTCCCTTTGGCATGGTGGTTTATGGCAACCCGAACGCGATTCCTCACCACTGACATCTGTGAGACGGTCATCCACTCGGGAGGGATGTGGAAGTGAGCGCCAGCTGAGTCTCCCAACAGCACGACCCCTTGTGAATCCGCACCTAGAGAATGCATTCTGTTAGCTGCATGAGCAGAAAGAGCAAACCAGAACAGCACGGACAGCAATGCTTGAAGAGTAACTGCAGCGTTGGCTGGTGGAGTCATGAGGACACCGGCTACATCACTCTCAATGGGGCTGAACTGTTCAGACCCTGCAATGGGATTTTTGCTGTTCACTAAAAACCGGTTAACAGACACGTGCCAACAACCCCAGGGACACAACTAGGCATGAAAACCAGGGAGAGGTCCTGCTAATCACTAAATGCAGGGATGTTGTAATGCAGGGATGGATGTGTTACTTCATCAGAGGCTCTGCTCTGCAGCCAACGTTTAGTTTTGCTACCCACAGAATATGCTTCATAGAGGACTTAAACACTGAGGAAAATCAGATTACTCAGGGACTTTCTCAAAGCTCTTTATACAGAGCCGGGTGCTGGATTGGTGGATGCGCTACTCACTCATACGAGTGTTTCTGCTAGAACAGTCTGGCTGGTTTCTAATTAACGTCACTTTAGCAGTTGTAGATTGCCTTTCAACCACAAATGTTTTAAAGTCTTGCTCAGGCAATGGTTCAGCCCCAGGATGCTGATTCAAATGTAAGGCAAGGTGAGCATAACTCAGCTGGCTCCCAACACAGAATTAACAACAGCCTTTGCTTTCCACATTCTATCTTTGCTCATCCTCAAGATAAAAATGAAATTCAATCTTTTGCCATTCTGCCTTTCTGAGGAAGTTGTAAACCCCAAAGTCTTTCCCCTACGTTGGCAATGACTGAAAACATACTAAAGGCACATTGGTTTTCATGCTGACTGTAAAGACTTACCTTTGCAGAACTTCTCCTCATAGGGAATTCCATCTTTTGGATCCACGCCCTGTTGGAGGAGAGAAGGGGCAGATGATGATGGCATCCATCTAGCTCCTGAAAAATGCAGTGCAAAACAGAGGTGGGGGATTTTGTCCTTGGATGTTTGTCTTGACAGGCTCGAGAGGTGTGAACCACATGAGCTTCAGCAAGGCCAAGTGCAAGGTCCTGCACCAGGGTCGGGGCAATTCCAAAGCACAAATAGGAGCTGGGTGGAAAACAGATTGAGAGGAGCCCCTGCTCTTGTGAGACCCCACCTAGAGAACAGCATCCAGCATAAGGACAACATGGATCTGTCAGAGTGAGTCCAGAGGAGGCCATGGGGATGCTGTGAGGGCTGGAGCAGCTCTGCTCTGGAGCCAGGCTGAGAGAGCTGGGTTGGGTCAGCCTGGAGAAGAGAAGGCTCCTGAAGGGGAGACCTGAGAGCAGCTCCAGTGCCTGAAGGGGCTGCAGGAAACCTGGAGAGGGGCTTGGGACAAGGGCCTGTAGGGACAGGCCAAGGGGAATGGCTTTAACCTGCCCGAGGGGAGACTGAGCTGAGCTCTTAGGCAGAAGCTCTTCCCTGTGAGGGTGCTGAGGCGCTGGCACAGGGTGCCCAGAGAAGCTGTGGCTGCCCCATCCCTGGCAGTGTTCAAGGCCAGGTTGGACACAGGGGCTTGGAGCAAGCTGCTCCAGTGGAAGGGGTCCCTGCCTGTGGCAGGGGTTGGAGCTGGAGGAGCTTTAAGGTCCCTTCCAACCCAAACCAGGCTGGGATATGATTCTATGATATAAATTAATTATAATAGCTATAATTGTAAACAATCATAAGCATCAATAAATAAATTTCACCCAAAATTACTTCCCCCCTGTTTCCTTAGTTCTTAATAAATATAGTTGTATTACTTGGAATGTCAAAGACAGTAAATAAATAGCAGTAATCCAAATCAGTTCATAAACCAGAATAAAGAAAAATCAATACCTGAAGACTAATCCAAAAGGAGGAAAAAAGAGAAGCAGCAATCAGGAAGGAAACATAAGATGCACTATCATTTACTTACCCATATGCCATTGCAGTTAGAGTCCCTTTCCTCATCCCAGTTATCAGGACTAAAACAAAAGGATATACAGCATTACAGAAAATAAAGCAAAAGGAGCTCTTGAGGGAATCGGATGCTTTGTGCCATTTGTCACTATGAATATATAATAACTAGAAATTCCTTTCTGCACAGAAGGTCTTTTATTTCCCCACTTTGAATCCCGGGCAGGCAATTTTTCCTAGCAAAATGCAATATTGATTTAAAGTTAGCACTGGAAGTTGTTGAATGGAACTTACCCTTTTAGTCTGCATATTCACTCAGGCGAAGGGAATGGGGTGATCTTTGCAGGAGACTGATCCTTCTTCCTTGCCCTTTCCCTAGCTTTTAAGTGTTCCCTGAAATCCACCAGGCCCCTCACTCAGAGCAGGGTAGTGAGGATTTGCTCTCCCCATTGGTCTGTCTGACCAACTTTGGTCTCAGATGCTTCAGAGAAAGGAAAGAACCCTGTGCACCACCCCTGCTCCTGCGCTCCATCCCTGCTCTCCATCATTTCCTCGTCTCCATCACTGTGCAGTCAAGCCAGACGCAGTGCTGTGCTCTCTTAGAGCACGGCCAGCCCCAAATACAGAGCTCCTTCTTCAAGAAGTCACAATTACGAAGCCTTGAAAATAATGACAAGCTTTACCGTCTGCCAGGGTACACAGCGTTGTTCCTGTCGTCGCAGTCTCTGCCTCGCCAGTGGTAGCCCCTCAGTGTCTGAAAGCCAGGAGAAGCACACAGATAGACAGGATGGCCATTGCTACTCTGGCACTTTTAATTTCACATATCTAAAATGAGAATCTAACTCAGGTGTAGGAATCAAGTGCAGTAAATGGGCTGTATTCCAGAGGCCCTGGGCTAAGCTTTAATAAATGGCACCTTGCACACTTCAGTGCAGAAAGGAGACAAGCTGGGGATTTAATTTGGGGTGGTTTTTAATACGACTTTACTTCACTCTTATTAATTCAGTAAACAGAGCACTCAGCAGCAGAGCAATTTGCTTCTGCAGGGGCACAGCTTTGTGTGTGCATCTCCCCAGGTGGCATCAAGGGATGATTGGGTTTTTCATCCAGAAAAAAACACTTTTTATGACCAAAACCCCCTCCATTCACTTTATTCCTGTTTTCACATGCATGAATGAGGCTTTGCAGAAAGTAGGAAGAATCCCATAGGCATTCCTATTGTCAAGGTTTTACTGTACACCAAGGGAAACGCTTTGCTTACCGGGAAAGTACTAAATTTATCTCCATCCAAATCTTCAAAAGGCAGTTTATTTCTCAAAACACTGTAAAAAAGCCCCAAACCCAACAAACAGAGTTAACACGTGGACAGAACCTGTGCAGGAATTACAAACCATGGTAAAGCATGCACAATAGGTAATAGCTGGCACAGCATTCATGTTCAGCTCCTTGTTCACTTTGAGCTCTGTGCTCAACCTTCAGCAAAGGGACTCTGTCTGAAGGAGCAAGTCCTGATTTCTTTCCGTATGTGCTGGCTGAGCTGTGGAGGTGAGGCTGCTGGGCTCCTGCAATGTCAAACCTTCGGGCTCTAAAACGAACCAGGACATCAAACCTGTGGCAAAAGTAACTATAATGTGGTTTGGGAATCAGGACTTTACCTAGCCTGGCAGAGCTTGCAAGCTGCCAGATATGAGATACAAATGGAGGTCCTTCTGCTTGGGATGGAGCTGCAGAAAGGGGCCTCATGCTGATGGAGATCAAGCTCCTTCTTTCCTTAAAAACAAATGGCAAATACCCTTCCTCATATTCATCCTTCAAATCTTCACACCGTCTCTCTCCTGCTGTGTTCAGTCTAGAAGCCTGCACCCTCGGCTGCAGCTATACATACACACTAACGCTTATTTTAGAGGACAAAAGTGGATTTGATAGGACCGTACACACTGAATTCACAGGTGACCTTATATTCTAACTGAGGATCAGGGTCTCACCTTGCCATTTCTGTATCTAGTCCCACAAATGTCTGGGGATGCTCAGACAGGTTTGAGAAAAAGCATCTTCCCTTGATTTGAGCAATGGAGAGCTGAGCCCCCATGGTCTCCCGCAGTGCTTAGTTACATTAATTAATGTAATAAATGTCATTAACGAAAATTACTTCTTCCACTGGGACTTTTGTTTCCAGCAACCCCATAGCTTTTAGCAGTACCTGAAGCAGGTGTCAAAATGATGGTGTCAGCTCTGTGCCCCTTCCTGTTTAGCTTGGACACTTGCTAGATTCCACATGGTGTGTCACCTCTGGCTACAGGACATAGCTTAGCTCACCTACATTGAGCAGCCTTTCATACGTGCCTTAGGCAGCACTCTGATGTGCTAGTCAGCCTTGCCTTGGAAAATTGCCTTACAGAGGTTTTCCAACATCTTGCACCTATAAGAGATGTTGAACCTGGCTCAGGGAGCAAATAGGTGCAAGGAGGGTGGATTCCTCATCCTGCACAAGCATCAGAATAAGAGAAGTACAGAGGAGATGGGTGACACGCACTCCTGGTGGGGCTTGTAACCCTTAATCTGTCTGTAGTCAATAATTTCCACGTGCTGCCTTGGGCTCCTTCTTCTCTGCAGTAAGGCTCAGTTGCAAGAACTGGCACAGATTCAGAGCAGCTAAAACAATCCAACTGTCAGACATGCTTTGTGAAGCTACGGAAAGAGGAAACCAAAACCCAAGGAGTGAGAGAGAGCATGAGAGAGAACTCAGAGGAGGTGAACACATCTGATCCAACGTATGATGCACAGTTTGATCCTGCTTCCACTGTCTGAACTCCCAGGGCTCAAACTCAGGTTATTCATCCTGACTTAACATTTTAGACACTTACAAGATGCTTCACGTTAATCGCTCCATTCCCAATCACATCCTGATATTGCCAGTTTCAATCAGAGGAGCAAGTTAGTCCTGGCAGTCAAAATGTACTGTTGATAAAACTGATTTATTCTTAGTTTTGCTTGTCTCCTCCTCCCAGTCACTGCAGTACCATGAGTACATCGGCAAACGTGCCTTAGGGGTAACAGCCCAGCTGCTGTCCTCAGCCTTTCTCAGAAACTCCCTGTCTGCCACCCACCCCAATTCCTTAAATATCTGAGATGCCCCTAGCACTGTGCAACTGCTGCTTAATTCCTGTTCCCCACAGTTACAAAGGTGCTGGTGGCCTTCCTGCGCTGAGCCATGGGCTCCCTCTCAGGAATCTTACTTACCTGAATCCTGTGCAGCCTCCCTGGATGCTGCCTGGACAGTGGGTTTATGAAGGAACCCAACAGAAGTAAAGTATAGCAAGCTCTGTTAACTGAGGGTGAGCTCTGAAGGAAGCAAACGTACCATATTCTGTGTCTGGTTAAGGAGTGAAAACTTCATACATACTATTTAATCTTCTCACACAGGTTAGCCAGAAGAGGAAACGCACACACGCTTGAGAACCCCATGAAGTTTTTCTGGAGGGGAAGAAAACAAAAGAAGATGGATGCATTAGTTCATAGAGGTGGCGTGGCTTGGGATATTCAGTGTCAGTAAAGTCTAAACCTAAATCATGTATTTTCTGCTAGAAACACCTGAAAACCCCAACGCCGCAATAAGGATGCAATGTGTCATCCTTAGAATTTAGACCTGACAGCAGTCAACTGAAGGATTTCAACTGAAAGTTTCCCAAAAAGCTGTAAAATTAAGCAGGAAGAAGCTCCTCTGAAACTGCCTCTCATGCACCAGGACTCTCTTTAAATCCTTTGCAAAAACTGCAGCTCTTGTGCTCGATAAACATGATGCTGCCTGACACTTGGTGTGAAACCAGCAGACTGTGGACCATGGAGCTGGTTTCTGCATGTTCAGGTAGGGTGGATGAACTGAAGGTCAGGAAAAGCCCCAGAGAGAGGAGAAATGGAGGTATCCGGCACAGGCTGGTTTTGTTCATGAGATCTTTTACCTGGAAGTCTCCTAACCAGATCTTATCTTGTCCGGATTGGCAAGCTGTAAAAGACAGCTGCTGCAGGATGAACCCTTTCCACATTAGTAGACCACAGCTGTGGGCTAATCCAGTTGAGTTTCCAGGCAGCCAGGAGGCTTCAGAAGCTAAAAGAGACCTTCCTAATGAATGCTCAAGTTACAGAAACATCACACTGCATCGGCAATCAGTCCTACAAACACGCTGCTCTCATCTAAGTTCAGGTGGTCTTTAAACACTGAGGGCATTCAAGTGGTCTATAAATAGAGGGCTGGCTGGTGAAGTCTGATTAACTGTATTCACTAAGGCTGCATTCAGCGTGCAAATGTGGAGCAGATGGGCACACTCATAACTTTATGCAAAGAAGGGTAATTATTTATGTGGCCATAGCATTTAAGAGCTCTGTCCTTGGACCAACTTCCATGTGTTACATGCTTTATATACACAGAGGAAAAACTATGGTCCTTGCCCTGGAGAGACTACAACCTGAATAAAACAAGATAAAGGTTGGATACAGCTCAGGAGAGGACAATAAAAGGCTGTTCCTCACCATGAGGGGCAGTAGTCCCAGCATATAAAACTCTGATTGACAAAGGAGAACTCTGAGGCAGCACTGCAGGGCAGCGAGGCAGTGGTGCCACGATGCATACAGCATTGCCCTGCAGCTCCAGGGAGGGCAGGAAGGTGTTTGCTTGGACAGGGAAGAAAGGGTGATGGAGATGAGGGTCTCTTGCTGCCCAGAGCAGGCCAGCCACAGCAGTATGTCAAGGGCAGGATCTCAATGTGGACAGGGCAGGTGGGCTAGCAAAGAGCTCCTAGTACAAACACGGCAGCCAGCATTCGCACCGGTGGCTGAAGTGACCAAGCAGCAAGATGAAGATGAAAAAGAGAGGAACATTGTGAGGGGCACCTGCAGTGGAGATGGAGCTGTAACCGTGCGCTTTCTGAAGGACCCAAAGGAGGAGGAAAGGAGGGAAATTAAGGAGACAAGAAACTCACTGTGGCTCCAGGCACCCTGCACTCTTCCCCATCCCAGTGCACCTCTGTATTTAAGCTCCCTGCCAGCGTGGCTGTAGCAGGGCTATGTCCTGAAGCATGGCAGGGACACAGACCTCCTCTTTGCTCTTGTGTGTGCACACAAGTATGGCCAGCTAGGGAGAGGGGAGAGGGGCACCAGCAGGATGCCAGTTTTACTCAAAAGGCTTTGCAAACCTACATATACCTTCCTGGAAAGAGGAAACAAACCACTCCTCCCACCTCCTCCAGGTGGGACTAATTCTGCCTACAAAAGCACAAGAGGCTCTTAAAGCTATCCATCAGGCTAAGATTTGCAATGTCTCCGTTTGAGCTCTCAGCTTTTCACTTCAGGCTAAATAACAGCATGCGAAGCTTTTGAAGTTAAGGCACCTGAAGCCAAATCTGCACCAGCAAGGCAAAGCACAGGGCTCACAACGAATAAACACATAAATAAAACCACCTTTCACTCTGCCCACTGGCTGCATTTAAACCCCCCCCCCCCCTTTGCTGCAAGCAGAATAAAATCTTTCCTGCCTTTTTCTCAGCTGTGCATTTGAATATTGTTGGGGGCTGAATTTCTGCAGCCCAGAGACTGCCTGACTCACAGGGAGCAGCTGGCATGATGGTGACCTGGAAGCGGTGCAGGCACCACAGTCCTTCCCAGCAGAGCCAGGCTGTGGGTGCAGTACATGCTTTTGGGAGGAGATGCTTACTTGCCCCTGTATAACATGAATGGGTGGTCAGGAGACTGGTTCATTCCCATCCCTGCCTTGCAATTCCCTCACTCCCTCCGTGGTTTCCCACTTCTCCCACTAGCAGGCTGTGACTTGCAGGGACCATGGACCCATGATGTGGTTGTAGGCACGGTGCTTGCTCTCATTAAATGCTACAGCCACTGCTCTCTTTGTCATTCTTTCACTGCTATTGCTCAAAGATGCCTCCTAGTATCTCCCCCATAAGAAAAGTTACTGCTAGAGGTGCTCCCAGTGATTGATACCACCAATATCTTATTCATCGCCTATTAACATTCCCTAATGACATTTCTGTAACTATTTTAGTTGGGTTTGCAGAAAAGAATAATAATGAGCCCCTAACGCTTGTTGCTGTTTGGTTTAAGGCAGCCGCTCACAGATGATTCACTGCTTTTAATGAATGGAGACATCTATTAGGTTCTGGGGGGTTGTAGCCACTTCTACTGAATCTCTACATCTGCAAAATGCCTTCTCTTTTTCCCAAACCCACAACAATCCTCAGACGTGCCCAGCAAATAAAAAGGCCTGGGAGCCAGGCAGACCTCACATCCTCATTACCAACAGCCGTAATCACACATCTTTTTATGCAGTCACATAGAGCAGCCCAGCAAAGACGGGCACAGCCAACTTGCTTCAGAAGACTTTCCCCAAACATGCAATGGGGAAAAGCAACCAAAATAGCAGATATGGGAAGAATATAATATATTATATTGAATATTTAATATTGATAGATATTGTATAGTATGTATAATTTATATAACATTAGTATATATTACAATTATTATCATTATAATATTGTATATTATAATGTATATAATTATATAGGATATATAATTTGATGTTTCTGTCTCATAGAAGCCAGAGCACAGAAGATGAATGTTTTTCTCCCTCCACCAATGTGGATGCAAAGATGCCCCAGCACTCATTTAAAATAAGTTTCAGCAAGGCTCCTTATGGGGCACATGCTAAAATAACTGCAGGGGAGGCCCAACCAACCCCATAATACTCCTTTTAGTTAAAGCTGATCTGGTATTGTGTGGTTATAGAGGTTTAGGAATGCATTGGTTGGAGAAACCTGACAATGAGCTGGGACACAGTCTGCTCGTCCCTCCTGCTGGGAAATGGGCAACTAGGAACAGGAAAGGGCAAGGACTGGGAGGTACAGGGACACTGAGCAGCTCTGAGGGTATGGGAGAGTAAAGGCGAGCTGGAAGGAGGCTGGAAATCTCAGGCCATCACAGCACAGTGCTGAATAGGGGGCAAAATGAATAAGGTCCTGCTGGCTGCTGCTGCGTGGGAGCCGAGTCCCTTGTCTCCAGCGTGTTGTTTATTTCCCTGCCTTGGCAATCTGGCAATGGCCCTAAGGCTAATGAGGGACCCCCGTTTTCCCTGGTGTGAGCTGCACCGCAGTACGGGTCCAGGCAGAAGCAGTACCAGTAACGCCTTCACAAACAGCTGACACGTTTGCTCTGCCTTAAGTGCCTGCAGACAACTGGGAGCAAACCGTGCCTGCGCTGACCCATTAAACAAAAGCTGCCCTTCCCTCCTCAGCTGCCCTTCAGAGAGCTGAAAACTGGTGGAGGTGGGAGGATTCCAAACCCAGGTTTCAAGTTGAAGGGGCAAAGGCCTCTTACAACACATGCAGGGTTTGCATTCAGGCCACTGCTTGAGCTTCAGGCAACCCCAAAACGCAGGCACTGCGCTCTGAGGCAGCGGCCAGTTAATGAGGCTCCCTCTTACACACGGCTAGAAGGGATGATGGGGGCCAAGGGAGAAGCATGAAAGAAAGAGGAGCAGTAATGAACATTGCAGGAAGCTCGAAACTTCTGTGGGTGGAAGAACAAGGGGGAAATTCCTGCTTTTGTAAAAAAAACGAACAAAACCTGTATCTGCTTGTATTTTGTTTTAAGGGTGGCTGCTGCACCACGGGCAAGCTGGGCTAGCGCAAGTGTGACGAAGAGCTATGAAGCTCTCAGATGAGATCCTCCGCTGCTGCACGGGTTTCAGACATGCGTTTATGTCTGGGATGGACACGGACAGTTACCCCTTCTCCACAAGCAGGCTGCATTTGTTGCGATGCTTTTTTCTGCTCTCCCCATACTTCCACGTTTCCTCTCCCTGTCCTTTGCAGTATCACCTCACAGAGCATATCCTACACCAGGTAGGAGCGAGTCAGCATTCAGTTTAGTGCCCATCAAGTGGATTCCCAATCAGGCAGATCAAACAAGGACTGACTCCTGCTAAATGCAGGTACAGTGTGAGACACCCCGATGCCACGGATTTCTTACCAGGTCCTTGGAAGTCTTCACAATCCTCCGTGCTTTTCTTATTGCAGTGCTCAGCCCAACCTAGGAGAGCAAAAGCACAATAAATAAAATGAGATCAGCCTAACAGGGCCCTACCAATTTTTCTCCCCATTTCCTACCTTTCTTTTTTTGTAATGTATCATTTCCAGCACAAAAAATGATGTATGAGTCCACAAACTTGTCATCACTTACATTTTATTGGACTAACAATCAGTTATCCAATCACCCCCACCCCCCCCCCCCCCATGAAACTACAGTTGCAAGAGTTTATTTAGTTTGCATCCAGGGCATCATTTATTTCCTAAGGCCCAGATCAGTTAAAGAGCTGAGATTCATATCCTGACTGCACTGTGCGAGGCTTCTCCAGCGATACTTCCTAAAGAGCAACCCATCCATTAGATGGCCAAAAGAGGATTATATGTGCAATGATGGTCAGGCATGCTGTGAAAGGGTATAGAGGAAGCATTACATGGATAAGGGTTATACTCTGCTGAGGTCCATCCCAGCAGGGAACAGCTGGCACATGGGAAGCGATAAAGCAGGGAATAGATTGGAAGGCAAATCCCCTGGAGATTCCTGCCCTGGAGGGAGGGAAAGTGCAATACATTTTTGCAGCCCACCTGGTCCACAGCCCTGTGTCCTGCCTGGATGAATGCCAGCGCAGGGGGAGTAAGCAGGGCCTCTGCTCCATCCCGGTAAGAGCTTACCCCTGCCTGTAAGAACTTCGCCCCATAGCACAGCACACAAGGACCGCAGCAGTTCTCCTGCCACAAGGACTCGTGCTCCTCCCCTGCTGCTCCGCTTTCACTTTTGGACAGTATTCCACCATCTCAGTGAGGATAAGTCCCTTATGTTGTTTGTCCTGCATTTGTTAGGCCACCTTTGCAAACAGTCCTATCTGCGGGGCAGTGTCTGTGTGATGGCCTCTGCCCTTCCCCTCAGCATTCGGCATGAAGACGACTGAAAACACTGCCCGCCTGCCCTCTTTCAGAAGGAATAACTGCTTTGGCCTGCATGCTTTGAGCATTGGTAAAAAATACAATAGAATAACATAAATAAAATAAAATAACATAAAACAAACCAACCAAAATAAAATAAAAGATAAAATACAGTAAGATAAAATAAAATAGATACAAATGAATTCCTTCTGAAAGCATTTCAAATGGAAAGGAAAACCCAGTGCGTCCCAGCATCTTTAGCACTTGGTTTCTGATCAGAACTGTAAGCAAGGACAAACTGTTCTGTCTGACAATGACCAGTCCCTCCTACGGCCCAGCCTGCGGACCCAAGTGCTAGCTCCAAGGCAGAAGTTCAGCACAAGTTTATATCTATCTGGCTGGAGCTGCAGGAACTCAACATGGGGGGAAAGCAGGCGTTGCCAAGAGGTGGTATTTAAGCATTTGGAGAAGAACAAGAACCTATCCTTTGAGCGGTGGCACCTTTCCGAACAGCGGGCATGCCAGCTTGCAATATTAAAGCAGCATACATTTGCATTTAAAGCAACCATTGCCAACGTGGTGTTTCACTGGGGGTAAAATTTAGCATGTCATTATAATTGGGTTAGGCAGTGATCAGAGCAAATTAATTAACTGGGCTATTCAAGGGTCAAAGACTGGTATTGAACAATACAAAGGGATGAGGAAGAATAAGCATGAGCAGCAAAAACCACAGACTTGTAAGTTACTGGGTTTTAATAGATGTGTCAGGTTAATATACGTGCTTAATCATCGGACCATTGAACAGTTTGGGTTGGAAGGGACCATCAAAGCTCATGCAGTTCCAACCCCCTGCCATGGGCAGGGACATTTCAACTAGATCAGGTTGCCCATAACCACATCCAGTGTGGCCTTGCATGGCTAATCCATTGTGCCTGTAGTCTTATAAAAACCTGGGGATGTCACAAATAGAGGAGAGATGCTAGGAATGAGCCAAGACACCGATTCCTAGTTTCTTCCCCTGGGCAATTGCTGTCCCCCAGACCCAAAGACGCACCTTGCATTTGTCACAGTTATGTTGTACGTAACCAGCTGCCGTCATTTCTGCAATAAAATAGCTTGAGGGATGAGGTAAAGGGCTTAAAATGGAGTACGACAGATGAGAGGTCTCCAGAGAGGTAGCATTTATCAATCCCTTTATGCTGGGCAGGGGAGGAGAGACCTTTCTTGCTCTCAGCAGCAGAGCACCTGCAGACAGCTGCAGCAATACTGCACAGAGAGCAGGAAGCAAGGGAGGAAAGGCTGAATTACCCCTGCATGTAGGAAATGCTCTCTATGAAATTCTAAGGGTGAGATCTCCCACTGCAGCAGCCAGGGCTCTGGGGTGAAGAACACAAGACATCCGCACCACAGATGGGGCTGAGGGCAGGAGTGTCACTGGGGCTTCATTCACTGCCGCCTTCCACTGCTCTCCACAGAGCCCACAGCTTCCCAGTCATGAATTCTTTGCCAGCAGATCTATTTCTCGCCATAAGCAAACACACAACGCTAGCCTAATTCTCTCATTCATCACCCCTGTTAGCCAGCTCTTTCCCAGGAGAGTGGATAGTTACAAGGTGCTCCAATTTTCCCTTCTAACTCATTTTCATCATCCTTTCACCAGGACTACACAGACCCAGGAACCAAAACGCTGCAAAGTTTGTTAAGCAGCACTGGCAAAACTGAGGTTTGCTCTACAACTCCCACCTTTTACCCTGCGGAGTGTGTAAGGGGAATCTTTACCATCGCATGGGACAGCCAAACCAAAGGATACGTACTTTGGATGCAAAATAGGGACCTTCTCTGCAAGCCCAGATCTAAATCAAAGGCTGGCTCAGTCCTTTCTCTTGCCAGGGAAATTACTCTGACTTCTGGGCATTTTATGCCCCTTGTTTTTTTCGGTCTTGGACTCTGCCCTGGATGGAACGTTCCGATTTACCTTTTCCAGCTTGCCTCTGCAAAACACAGTCAGCATCCCCAAGCAATGCCTCCTTATCCTCACACTTCTGTTCCCTGCTAACCCCGCGCCACCCTGCTTCCTTCAGGTTTGTCTGGTGGAAGGGTGAGGTTGTGGGGTTTGGGTTCTGGGGGCTGTGTTTCAGTAGATTTCAGCTGCTTCCAAAAGGAAAGGCTAAAAGGAGGGCGGTTGGCTCCCCAGGACCCAGCCTGCCTCCCAGGCTCTACAGCCCATGGTCTTGGAGGAAGGGGACAGGCCTGAGCCTGGCTGCAGTAATGTCCATGAGGGATGTGGCTTTTGCTCTTTGCAAATCGGTGAAAGACCCAATGAAGGGGACACGAACAAGCATGAGTGCTTGTGGCAATGGCACTTATTTTGGGAGATGGAATGACATTAGCATAAACATGCATATTTTTGGTGATGCAGGATGACTCCCAGCAGAATCCTACTACTGGGCATTAAGCTGAAACCTGCAGCCACAAGGTCTCTGATAGTCCAGAGCAGAAAAGTGATGGGGAGCAGAAAAGGCACTCTGAAAGGCAGAGAGTACACGTTCCTTCTAACACAGGCCATTGAAGAGACTGTCAGCAGCAGGACCCCAGCGCTGAAGTCGAGCCACTATGCTGGCCCCAACAAGATCAATTAAAGTATTGCCATTTAACTGAACAGGCCAACTGGCTGAAAGCAATCTAGAGACAAGCTGCAAAACTGCTTGCTCCCAAGGGCAGACAGGACACTTGGTAGGCAGTGTCTAAAACCCCTCACCTTCTTTCAGCCTCTTGTTAGAGGAATGGTTCTGTATCACAGACAGTCCTTCACCATTTGAGCTCATAAACCTTTTTGTCTAATAAAATACCCAGCCATCCCAAAGCTTGGATAACCTACCCACTGTCACTGTTTGGCGTGGTGCTGCAGCGGATGCTGACAGTATCTGCTGCTGATGTAGCTTAACCACAAGGCAAATTAGAGCAGCTTTAGCCACTGCCCAGTTTCCAGCACCTATGGCAAGCCTGCTTCTTGTGTGCCAGATGGGTCTCATGGGAGGTCATTCTCCCCTCCTACTCTGCTCTTGTGAGACTCCACTTGGATTACTGCCTACAGTTCTGGTGTCCTCCGAGAAGCTGTATGGAGACCTCAGAGCAGCTTCCAGTATCTGAAGGGGGCCTATAAGGACACTGGAGAGGGGCTCTTCATTAGGGACTGTAGCAACGGGACAAGGGGGAATGGGTTTAAATTTAAACAGGGGAGATTTAGGTTGGGTATAAAGCAGAAGCTCTTCCCTGTGAGGGTGCTGAGGCGCTGGCACAGGGTGCCCAGAGAAGCTGTGGCTGCCCCATCCCTGGCAGTGTCCAAGGGCAGGTTGGACACAGGGGCTTGGAGCAAGCTGCTCCAGTGGAAGGGGTCCCTGCCCGTGGCAGGGGTTGGAGCTGGAGGAGCTTTAAGGTCCCTTCAACCCAAACCAGGCTGGGAGAACCTCTTGTTGGGCAGTTAGGATGCAGTGGAGAGACCACGCTTTCCCATGTTGGATGCTCTCCTCTAACTCTGCATTCGAGAGCATTGCCCTCCATTCAAACAGAGCAATACTTCATAATTAGAGCCAAGCCTCCTAGAATGACTGCAGAGTGCTAATGGCTCCAGGCAGGCTGGCAAAAACATCATTTGGGCCGATTTGTCAGAGACCAGGGAAGTATGTAATATAACGCACGTACCATTTACTCAGCTTGCAGTGTCTCCATGACGTAGGTAGTTCCTAAAGCCAAGTCTTTGCTCAAGACACACAATCTCACTAGATAACATCACAGCAACAGAACAAAACAGACTCCTGACTGAAAAAGCAGCTACATGTTGATATTTGCCACCTTAAAGGCAATCAAAAGTGAACATTATACGGCCTCATACGGGCAAGTAACTACATTTATTTTAAGTAACTCTGTGTTTATTTTACTCCCTTTGCCAGTACAAATCTGATACTAATCCTGGGAAAACGGTCATCCAGAAGTCTAAACGGGTAAATGAAGTACCTGAAAATCAGGAGAGTTGAACAAACCAGTCATTAGTATTAAAGTCTTGTTGAAACCCTTGGCAGGGGACTGTGCCAGCATTTGCAGGGTCATATAACTGAAGTGATCAATGAACTGACAAACCAAAGAAGCAAATGTGAGGTAAAGTGCATTTTATGCATTGGCATCTCTGATTGTGTATTAATTTTTTCACCCATAATTCATCTTTTCCCAGTCTGAGATGTCACAGAGTCACTGTGGGCCATTTATCAACCCCTTGAGCATGAACTCCAAGCACTGCTCTTCTCCTCCTATCTCCCACAGCCTCCTCACGCTGTCTTAGGGCATCAGGTGAGCTGAATAGGAGAGACTTGTTGACAGAATTCCCTTATTCCTGATAAGAAACAAATGGACCTCGACAGAAAGGGATTTTACTCCCACTTGGAAGGGAGAGGGTTTGCTTGAGCCACTCACTCAGAGGGAGCCTCCAGGCCACGCAACTTCTGTTTAAAGAACAACACCCCCCCCCCCAAAAGCCCCTATTCCCAGGCCCATGGGAGGTGGAAGGACCCATGAACTGTTCTACCAGCTGCAGGGTTTCTGGAGGAGCCCATCTGATAAAGTTTGGGCATCCTGGTTGAGCCAAATTAGTGTGGGCCCTCTCTGCTGCCTGCACCCATCTTCTTTCACCCCTGCCTGGTTGCACACTTACATATCTCTATGTTGGCATAACAGGGAGCATAGCAGTCATACAGGACATACACCTGAGGAAAACAAATGTTACTGCCATTCATGGAAGGCAAGGGTTTCTTAATATTGACAAAACTAATCCCACCTTGGAGATGAACCACAGCTCGCCAAAGCCCATAAAAAGACTCTGATTTCAATAGCTGGTGGATGCGGCCCTGTGTAAAGCGTATTATGCGCACCTTTAGAAACCAAACATGTTCTTATCCATCCAGATGCAGGGAAAAAGACTTACAAAAATAGGTGCCTATGTGAATCACTTGCTTTTTAGCACTGCCAGACAAGCACCATCACTCACAGGTTTTAGTGTGATCAGGGCTGTGGGATGACTGGGGCAAAACACCCAGTCCACAACTAAAAACATCCCAAAATCTGTTTAGATACCCATGAAGATATGTATGTGTCCAAGTGACAAAGGTCTAGGACACGCAATCAAGTTACTGTGGCGTAGCAAGGAACTGTACATCAAAAAAGGGATGGTAACTAAATATGCTTCCAGCCTGTGGCAAAGATTATGCATGTTAGCTTAAACCTCTTGCACTGCAGACAAATCCAAGTCTGATAGCCCTGCATTTACAGCAGATAACTAGAACCTACACAGGCTGCTGCAGCACATTAGCAATGTGGGGATACACCCCCATGTCACCGGTGCCACGGTGGTACAGATGAACCTTGGCTGAGTACCTGCTTTGGGGTTATTGTACAATAAAGCTCACGCAAAGTGAATTTTGGTTTCCCTGCTCTTGTCCTCTGACCCAAGAGGATTTAGCCCTGTATTTCCCACTCTCCCACAACCACAGTACTGATGGTCCACACAGCCAACGCACGTTGGGTACCTCTCCTTCCAACACAAGTATTCTCAGTGTCCGCACTCACACTGTCGAAGTTCATTTCCCAGCCAGCGCACGTGCACTGGAAGCCCCTGTGCCCTTGAGTTCCAGCTCAAAAGACCTTCCACAGTCAGTAGCTCTGAGGAAACGTGGAAAACCAACTCACCTTCGGAGGGCTGTAGAGATGACAAAGCGGTTGTCCCGGATCCTGTTTACACAGCTTCAAGGAATGGCAGACCACATCAGCATTCATTTCCCTGTCTATGCTGAAGGAAATGGTGCATAAACAAAGACTATTATGTTCTTCTGGGTGCTTGAAAGGAGAAGCTATTTCCATGGGAAGCTAAATCTCCCCGACACCGAACAATAACCTCAGCTCTCTTCACTGGGGCTGGTAATCGCTTGGCTGCTCAGTACAGTGCTGGGCCCTAACGATTTCCTGCCATGGCATCCTATTCAGCATTTAAAATTGGGTCCCAGGATGATGAAAAAGCACTGTGCTTTATACACAGCACCTGAATCAAGCACATTATGATTGTTCTGGCTTTTTCCTAAATAAATCATAAGTCTGACGAAGATTTAAAGGTTAAAGTTAATGCATATGTGGTTTGGCACATAGGAACATTCAATCATTAACTCAAGAAAACAACCAGAAATCCTCCAAAGATCCTTAACCTTTAATCACCAAGCACAACTGCAAGGATCGCTTCTTGCTTTTTGGGACACACCTCTGGGCTAATCAGGAATTACATTAGAATGTGTGATTACAGCACTGCTTGGTCCTGTGCGCACTTCGCAGTCCCTGGGCCAGTTTTAAGAAGGAAAGTAAAAACCCTGGGGAGAAAGCAGGTCTAGCAAAAGCTCTGGTAATTAAACTAAGGACTTTTAAAGGGGAATAAAACGACCTACATTTTATTGTCTTAATCACTTACATTACTTAGTAGGCTTCCCCAGGAGTGTGTATCAAGGCTGGGGCTGAGAGCATGTAGGGGCTGACAACTAGAAAGCTTGATTTAAGGTAGAAGGGAAAGCAAGAGGCAAGTGTTACAGCGGTGTGACTGCAGAATCTGTCTCACACACACGGGTTATTCAGATTCCTCCCTCAGCCACATGAGCTGCTTTTCAAAAGGCAATTACATCAGGTGGGCCTGATCTGGGATTCAAATGGAGTATGAAAACAGGTACCCATGGCAGCCGGTGTTTATTCACTCAGGAAGAGCTGTGCCAAAGACAACCAGAATCACTCTCCAGCACCTCTGCTTTAATAATCATAATGTGATTTCAAGAACGAAAGCCCTGCACTTCAATCCAGCAGCGCATCCGTACACGTCAAGAACAAACTAAGACTTGAGAGGACACAGCAATACTTACAGCTCAGCTATGTGTGGTCCATAAAGTTCAGCAAGTATGTAACAGAAACCTTGCAGTTTCTCTAGAAAACATAAATTTTTGGTAACTGATGGAGCATGGTGAAACGGGTTTTATAACAGTCAAAATACAGCAGGGGTTGGTTCACTAAGGTGAATGCTGTTTATCTTAGGAGAATGCGTGTGAATTTACAACCTCAGCCTAGCACCCGAGAATGGGAAAACATGAAGTTCTAACCTTGCCTAAAACCCTTCTATAGCTTTAGGCTAGAGAAGCCGCGTGGCAAAGACTAAAAAGGGTAACCCATATTTGTTAGATGCTCCCAGTGTAGCATCGTGGAAATAAATCCCACATGCTGCAGCATCTTCCAAGCGGTTCAAACAAACAGCTCGGTAGGTTTGCGAGCAGAGAGAAAACAATCACATACATCAAAGTGCAGAAAGTGATGTTGGGCTTGATGCTGCTGCGAGAGCTGCCTCGGAGCTTCCGCGGGGCTGCGAGAGTTAAGAGAATTCACTTTGTGTAGAGCAGGAGCTGCGCAGGAGTGATTGCATCCAAACCAGTATTTGACACTTTTTGTCTGGCTTCCTTTCAGTCTGCAGCCGTGAGCCTTTTCAGGATGCTGGCTTAGGCAGCGTGCTCTAATCTGCCTGAAGCATGCTCTCCAGGGACAGCTCATCACAGGTTTCTTTAAGGTGCCATTGTAAAAGGAGAGTGGTCCCCGCACCCAGGACCTGAATACAGGTACACTGGTCTGACAGTCCCCATGAAGGAAGAGGGCCCCGGCTGACAAGAGCTGGTTAAGCACACACGTGTCCTGCAAAGGCAGTCTCCAGCCTTGTTTCGGCAGGAGCTGTGCTCGGAAGAGTCGTGGAGAGGCAGGTTCCTACAAGTGCAGGGACAACAGACTTGCAGCTCCTGAAATTCCTGAGAGGTGACATTTTCTCTCGCACCTCCATTATCCAGACAGATAACCCTGCACCTGGGGAAGCAAACGGAGTGCGCTCATCTTTAGAAGCAGCCGGAGCAGCTGCTTCCCTCCGATTCTGAGCTGAATGTTCAGTTTTACCCAGCATCAGGACATGCCAGGGGTCTGCTGCGTTCAAGGACGGTGGTTTTGGTCTGGGGAGGGCGCAAAAGCTCACAGCGCTGATTCAATCAGGAGGTATGGGTGTGCTCCCACTCCCACAGCTCCTACCCTGCCAGGACTGCAGACACCCTGGCTGGCAACCAGCGCCCAGGAAAGGAGGGCTGGGAACAGAAGGGCATGGCAGGGAATGAAGGATAATATCCTCGGCATATGATGTTGCTGACAGCTTCTGTAACTACGATAGCTGATTTTTCTTATCCTGTGCCAGGTGTTTTACTTCAATCAAGTTATTAGCTTCATTTCTTCACCTCCTTTGCCACATAACTACTCTCTATTGGCTCTTTAGAAGCAGTCTGCAAGTTAAAAATTGGTCTCATGGCTAGAATTGCATTCTATTCTTGTTCACCTAAAAGGAAAGACATCACAGACATCAATAACCCTGCGCTCAGTACCATCACTGATTAAAACTCCCTCTCATGAGGCTTACCAACAAGGCACGTGGCTAACTATAGGAGACTGCAGGAGAAGGTGGCTGGCTTCCCCAACCCAGGAGGGGAGGGTTTGGCTGGGAAGCTGATGTTAAGGTCTGCTGGTCACCCTGATCTCTAGGCACTGGTTTCCTTACGCACAGAGGAAACTTGGGATGTGACTACCGCACAGTGTAACAAACAGTTGGTGGAAAGAACAGCAATAACATAAAATCATCATTGAGCACACAGGGTCCTCTCGGAAGATACCGATGCCATTTATGCTTTAGCTTCCAGCAAAACAGACCCAAACCACAGCAGTGTTTGTAGGACTTGCCCTCCAAGCCAGCCTGCCCTCATGCATTCAAAAACCTCTGGCTCTGCTAACACACACAAGGAGAAGTTATTGCAGAGAGAAAGCTCTGCTAGGAATAAGCTGCATAAGTCAGAAAGGAGGGGGAGAAAGACAGAGGGAAAATGAGGAGTAACTTGGAGTGTTCAGGGGCAAGAGAACACCTTAAACCAAACTAAATGCAGAAAACCTACAGAAAATTTAGAGTATACTTGCTTCTGCCCAGCTTTGGGTAAAAGAGATCCCCTAACTGCACTGTTCTTCCATGACTGTTGTGTACACAGCTCTGTACCACCTACTAGGAAGAAAATTAACTCCATCCCAGCTGAAATCAGGGCACTGATAAAAACCCTGAAGGTTTTCCTCTATAGCTTCATAGTCCTAGAAACACAAATGCTGGCTGAATCTCAGAGGGTAAATATTTGCAAGAAAGATGGTATTAATCAGGATGCCATTTCCACTTGAGCTCTACGGTGTTTACACAGCAGTGGCTGACACAGAAGCAGAGCATGGCCCAGAGGCAATGCCAGATGCAGGAGGTCTCAAAGCACAGTTCAGGTACCAGGCACCTCCGTTTCATCAGGCAGCCTCCCAGTGTCCAGGCAAACATCCATCCTTGCACCATAAATACAGCCCATTCCCCAGACCTCCCTTTCTGATAGCTGAAGAGCCTCCTTCACTCGTGGTGTCACTGTTCTGATTTTCACAGGTTTATTGGCCTTGTTGCTTGCATCACACACATTACAAATATTGCCATATAAGTAAGGATGCAATTGTGTCTGCTGCACAGCCTACAGGGATTGAGGGGGATTGATGGGTACTGAACTTTTCTCTCTCGTTTTCCCTGTTCTTGAGCATCATTTAACTTCACTGAAGGCTTGATCGAGCCCCAGCTTGGTTGTAATTGAACTTCTAGAAAGCCCTTTAAAAAAATACATAAGTTCTTATTTGCATTTTGGCCTTTAAAAAAAGCCCCATTGCCATTAACATGCTGCTGCCATTCTTGCAATCAGCTATAGGCATGTGTATAACAATGAAGTTGTTCTTTCAGGTGAAATGGCATGGCCTGCTTTAGTAGCTTTGCTCCTTATGAGCATCCAAAGCTCTTCTGTTGTTTCAAGCAGCAAGAGGAAGCTGGGCTGCAGCGTTCCCCTTCCTTAAGAGGATAAATCTGTATCTCTCACTAAATCCATAGGATTTTCCACTCTTTTCAAGTTCAGGGTCAGCTTTTTTTTCCTATTGGGTGTTTCCACACATCTCACAGAAGCTGGCTGGATTATACAGATTTAACTCAACGAATAATAGGTTTTTATGTGTGTAAAGCATGACAGATGAAAGAAATATCTTGACATGTCAGTGGAACAAGGTCCACTAAGCGAATCGTGAGCACAGAGCTCGCATGTCATATTTTAAAGAAGAAAATTGTATTTTAATAACAGGATCAGTGCTTCTAATTGCAACTTCATAGTTGTGTGCCTGGGATTTAAAACACTGAGGATATGACTTATGGACTAGAAATCTGGTAAGTATCATTCTATCAATGAGTGAATCCCATCAATTACATCCCTGCCCCAACCTGCATCGAGAAATCCCCTCTTGGAAAGGAGGGAATTAATATTCTACAAGCCTCTTCTGTGAAAGCAGGGTCTACAGAGCAAGATGGTTTCTCAGAGACACAGCTTGTGAAGTCCCATATAAACAGCTTTCAAATGAAGAATCCTAAGGTGTCCTTTTACATTTATAGTGTTAAAAAGATAGCACGAATGTGAGATCCAGTTACTTAGTCTCTGAGGCACAAAGCTATTCTGGCATTCAACCCATTCTCTGTTTAGGGATGTGCATTTGGACAGCTAAGATTCTATGGGCAGATAAAACGTGGGGCAGAAAAAGGGGAGTTTACGCATATCCCTGTGGAATAGGTATTGCTTTTGAAATGTGTATCATCAGCTCCATTTCGATAGCTTTCCTGTGCAGAACAAATGCTCGCATCTTACATCTGTCAACCCCAGCTCATTTCTTCAGATTCTGCCACAGCGGCTTCCTAGAGCTGCTGAAAACAGTTTCACCTTTGCAGCTGCTACGAAGACCCATATCAGCAAGAGAGAGGAGTGCTTGGGCATACACTGAATCTGTTCTTAAGCTGCTAACAAAGAGACAAAGCGGAGGGAAAGGGAGGGAAGGGGTCTGCATGTGTTGGTCCTATTCACCCTAACTTTGGGATGAAATCTAGAGGCACTTTAGCCACACCACTGGCTTCCCTGCAGATAGCACCTTGCTGTCTTTCAGCTCCATCCATTTGAGATGCTGCACGAGAGCGGATAAAGCCTTTCCAGGCTCCACGTGGGAACTTTTAATTAACAGAGACACACAGCGGAACCAACACAACATATGGCGCGTTACTGGGTACTTACCAGGTATGTAGCTGCACAGCCTCTCCGTGGCTGCCTTTACCGTACTGTTGTGCCACTGTGCAAGCTGTTCAATTACAGACACCACAAGCACGCACCCTTCAAACAAACAAACAGAAAGAGGGAACAGGGTTATCTGGGAAGTGTGATGGAGCACCCTGTGCCACGGAGGTGTTTCAAGCATCACTGGGCATTTCATTTCTTGAGACGCTCCGTGGCAGAGCAGCATTCAAGGGGAAAACACACCTGTGAATTTGAGCCTTTACTCAAAACCTGGAGGTCATCCCAGAGAGGATGCCAGAGGAGTGCACGGAACAGCCTGGCTTTTACAGCACTGGATGTGGCTCCTGGAATAATGATTTTCCATCCTTTCAAGGATGAGAATGACGGAGCCAGGGGGACAGCAAGTGTTACAACTGCCTGCTTGGCCGCCTGCTCCCTCGTTATTTCCCACAAGGAGGAGGACACAGGTCTGTACTTGAGGGGATTTCTACACTTCTCAACACACACCGCACAGAGGGCTACCATACACAAATGGGTGCGACAGCCTGCACAAGGGATGTCACGAAGAAGCAGACGTATGTGCCGAGCATCACAAAGCGCCCCTGGCAGCAGCTCTTCAATGACTTCCCTCTGAAGCCCAGCAGTGCTTGGCATGCAGAGGGCTGCTGGGCCCAGCTACCCATTTGTTAATGCCAAAACGTCTCTGAAGTTCATTCTGCTTTCCTTCTGTGGCTGGAAAGAACCCATTCCCTATGACCTATGAAGCTGGTTATTTCCCATCACTGATCTGGGGGTGAGCAAGGCTAAAATCCATCTGCTCCTTGGACTAGCTGCGACTGAGACCCAAGACCTTGCATAGGGAAGTATTTCTTGAGATGTGTAGCACTTTTTCTGGCATTTTATGGGATGAAGCATGTTCAATGTAATCCCCACATAGCAATCATTCAAAATCCCCCTGATGACCATAAACGGTTCCTTTCAAGTGGGGTTTAGATTGCTGCAGGCCTGCGTTGTGCTCTGTCTCTGCAGTGGCTTCATCATTTTACAATGAAGCCATGTTTGGCGACTCCAGCTCTGAGCAATGTAGTCAGACCTGGCAGCAGGGTGAGATGCTAGCCTGTGTTAAGAGAGCTGGGTACCCCAGGCAGCCAGGAGACAAGGACACCAGTCTCCAGCAGCCTGAATGAAGATTCCTCTTTGCAATCCCTGTAGCTGAACCCTGTTTCCTCCTCTCTGCAAGAAACCTCAGCTCTCAGGACTTGCTCTGGCAGTCTAGAAATGAAGGAGAGCTGCAGCATTTGGATGAGATCCACAGCTCAAGAGCATCAGTGTTCAGGTTTTCAGACTGCCACAGCTCTTCAAAGCGAGCTTTTCAATTCCTTCCAAACTCCCCTGCCTCTGTGCTATTAAATCAAAGTGCTGGTTTTCAACGTAAATAACTTTGATGCTCCTATGCATCAAGAAGCAAGTCAAAGAGGAGGTAATACAATTGGATCTTGCTGTAAGACCCATATCTTTTAGTCTTCTATTACTTCTTCTACCCCAAATACAGTAATCCAGTGGAAATTATAGTGAACTTGCCACCTTTTTTGCAGGGATAAAAGCTCACTTCTCCACACTTATTAAATAAAACGCTCACTCACAGTCCTCTGCAATGATTTATAAAGCATGCTAAGAGCCATTACCTCCAGTCAGCCAGAAAGAACAGGAGAACAAACAGAGGCAGATAAAACCAAGAGAAAACCCTGAAGCAAGTCGTTCCTTCTGTCCCAAACATAGCCAGAGGCTAGCCAGAAGAATTAACAGGTAATTAAAACACAATAGCTCATAAAGAGGGAGAAGAAGAAAGCGGAATAATAAAGACCCAAACTAAAACCAAAAGGGACATCCAAGCTGGAGGGCAAAGCATGCTCAGGACTTGTGCTCAAAGAACAGCCCAGGGCCCTCTGGTCCCTGTTTCACCTCCGTCACTTAGTGCTGGGATGGTGCACGTCCTGGAAACGCACCTAAAAGGCATTGCATAACCTCATTCTTACAGGGCCATATTATTAACACACATGAGCAACCTACAGCCAACCCAAACCACCCTTCCCCTGCCTTCTATGCCTGTTTTACTGATGAGGATGGAGGCTCAGAAAAACTGAATGACAAAAACGATGCTTAACCACAAACCCACGTGTCCTTGCTGTGCCTTCCCTTCTTCTCTCACCAAGGTCAGGCTTTCACCAGACAATCTTGCTGTCTAGAAGTCAGAAAGACCACAAGAAGTCCAAGCAGAGAGATGGGAAGGAGCTTGTTTGTCCTTTGACTTCTTTCTAAAGGAGGCAGCTTTTGTTGCTTCACCTCTCATTTTTTTTTGCACTGGGAGCCTGAGGAAGCTGCAGAGGAAAATGCTTCAGCAGGCAGGAGCTGGGGGAGCAGACAGTCCCCAAAGCACAGGCTGAAGCAGAACTGGGCACGGTTCTGCCTAACGGTTGGTCCCAGGGTAAAGGTGCAAAGAAGCTCCTCTCTCTGACTCAGATGTTGTCCCACAGCTCTCATTCTCTTCTCACCTCCAGTACAGTCGATGCAGAGAAAGAGGCTGATGGACAAACAGCCTGAGTGCTCGAAATCCACAGAGCTGGGCTGAGGATAAACCCCCCTGGTATTTCCATGTCCTCTCTTATACATGAAGACAGCCCCCTCTGAAGATGTTTCTCACACTCGACAAGGTACCATGTGGGGTGGGGAGGGAATAGCTATTTTTGGTTAAGCCCGGCTGAATATAAAGAGAATTCTTAATCACAAACAGAGCCATGCAGGTAACCCCACTCACGGAGAGCATCCCGGCAATTCAATGGAAATGCTTCACGTTGAGAAGTAAGTCAATTTGGTGTCTATCGAGCCAGGCCCAAAGGGAGACTCGCTCCACATGACAATTAATGGAGCCATCGCTGAGTTTGTGCAGTACTTCATGCAGTACCTGCGACCATAGAGGCTATGTGGATATAAATAACAATAATAATAGCCTGGCTACTTGGGAAAAAGGCAGGCTCCACACTTTTTTTCTGGATAAAAACATGCTCCCCCCAGTAATTCAGTTTTATCTTCCAGGAGAACCTATGTCCTGTAGGTAAAACCTGAAAAGATCAGTGTCCTAAAATGAATGTTAACTCAGACTATCCTCATTCCTACTACAAACCTGCTCTCTTTTCAGTCATACATAGCATCTTCCTCTGGATTTAGTGGCAGAGAAAGGACTCACGGTTGGCTGCAGCAGAAGAGGCACTACCCTCTAATGAAACGAACAGAAGTCTTGCTGCACACCAAATATCATCTGAAGTGCTAACCAGCTATCCTAGCCTTTAATGGCTCTTAATCCTGCTGGCTAAAAATGGAAATTAAGTAGTTAGCTAAAAAGGACAGGGGGAAGTCGGCTGTCTTGGGCTGCAGAAATATCACTGCTTTAATTACTTGTGATGGGTGCAAGATTATCAACTTTTTAATACTTTAGCACTTAGCAGTAGAAAAGCACTTCCAGATCTGGCCATTAGCAACTCTTGCTTGCTTTTTTAATTTAGCAGATATTTAGATGTGATTTATTTCTCCTCAGGAGCTGGGCGCACACACAGCAACGCGGATCGGCTTCTTAATTAAAGGTTAAAAAAAGCTCTAAATCTTTATAGCTGCACATGATTTTCTTTAGAACCATGTTCCCAGAAACTGACTTTGCTGCCTCACCTCAAGAACAGGTTTCCTTGACAGCCTGAAGGATGTTTTCTCTGGAAGAAATTCACTGGCATTGTATTGCCTACCGGCCATTAGAAACTAGACTCTGCCATTAATAAAACGCCTGTCTCTTTCAGCGATAGCTTGTCCCATCTGCTATTAATTTCTGAAGAGATAAGAGAAAAACATAACCATTTTGCTCAGTAATCTGCAAACTAACACGTCAGGAAGTACTTCTGTCCATGTAGTGTGTAATAATAAAAAATAGCATGTAATAATAAAATGACATTTCCAAGAAGCTCAGGGGGGGAAATCACATTCTGATAATAAAATCAGAGCTACAGAAATTCATTCCCTGGCTGTGAAGCCTCCGGCAGTTTGAGCAGACTATTTAACTTAATCCACTTCTGCCGCACGCGTCTGAAAGGCTCTATAATTAGAATTACACCTAGGGAAGTCAAGAAGTGTCTGGGTACTGAAAGCCTCCTCTCTTGAGCTTCTGATCTGTAGATATATTTGTCTCAGTCAAACTCCGTTACATGGGATCTCTGGTGCCTGGCACACCCCCCCTTTGCCATCCTTTGCTCACGTTCTGGGGTGCTGGAGATCTTTTTTGCCCTCCATCTGGATCGCTGCTCCCCAGCCATAAATTAAACGTACCCCTGGAGCACCAGGAGGAAATAAGCCCCCAGAGGGGGCCTTGGACACAAATAGCTCTCAGCCAGCCAGGCTGTGGTCACCCTGCTTGCTCCTGGTGGAGCAGGAGCCGGAGCCTCGCTTGGTGAAGCACCAAACCTCTGCCTCAGATATCTGTCTGCACCAATAAGACCCTGAATAAATGAAGCTGTCTATCACATTCCTGGTTTTGTAGCCTTCTAAGATGGAGGTTTTCCCAAAGCACAGTCTTCGCTTCTTCCCTTTAAAGTTGATCATAGGCTTCAATGCATCTCTTAAAGCCTATGGATGAGGAGTCCCCAGAGCCTGCCTGCAAAAGAAGATACTGCTATTCCCTGTGCAGATGCTGTTGATCTGGTGTAAAAACACCTCTTTCCAAATTCATCTCATCCACTTCCAGTTCAACCTGGAACAAGACATTCCAGTTTGAAATAAGAGCATTCACATGGGCAGCTAATAAGAAATCAGGTTTTCTCCTCTGAGATGGGCACATGCATGTGGGCATTCCAGGTGCAGGCAGGCCACGGATGTGCAAAGTTAAGAGTACAGGAATGCTTTCTTTTTCACTATATATTCCTTTCCTAATACTTCCCAATACCCATTCTGCCTACTTTCACTGCTTCCCAGCACTGAGCTGACACTTTGGAAGAGCACCCCTTTATAACCTCAAGATTTCAGTCCAGCGTGGACATTCTCAGCTCAAGTAATATAAC